ATTTAATGCAAATAATACTTCCGCAGTTTTTTTTTAATTTTTAAATTTTATACCGATTAAAAAATGACGTACGTCATCTTTTAATTGAAAAACAACATATGTCAAACATTAATTGACAGAATCTAAAAATAACGCATAACATATATATTCCACGTTAACTTTCCGTTTTTTTTAATTTTCACCGATTGAAAAATGACCTGACAAGCTATCGTTTCGGTAACCAAAGTTTGTTTTAGTTTTTTATATACCTCATAAAAATAATCATTTTGGATATTATTTGATATAATGGTTATTAAAGATTCAAACATCTTTTTATCCTCTTCTAGTTCAGCTTTTCTGGAGTCAATTAATTCATTTCGACTACCAACGGTTAATATTACTTCATTTGTAATTTCAGTTTCTTCAAAGAAACATTCAGTATCTCCATCATTCCAGGGATTATTTGTTGGTTTATTTGGAAAGTCTTCTTCACCAAAATATATAAATGGGTAGTCATGTCTTTGTTTTGTAGTTTTAAATTGAGAAAAGGAATTCGGATGTATAGTGATATGATTTTTAACCAGATGTTTGCATAACATGTAGTTACTTTCAAGAAATGTAGGACACGAACATATCCATTTATCAGTGTTAGTAAAGTATTCTCTTATGCTAGCTTCTTTTTTTGAAGCAATTTTCCAATCACTTTTAAATTGTCCTCATTATTGTGAAAATATGCAATTATTATTAAATTTGTTCCAGTTATAAATTTTATCTGGAATTAATTCTTGAGTTATAACTTGAGTTAGGTGATCTAGGTGAGGTTGATTAGTGTTATACTTATAATCATATTTGAAAGCACATCAATATGATTCAACTAGCATAGTGGTTCTTGCTAGTAGTAATACCTTAGAATAAGAAACTCAAGTGAAGAGGTTCTAATAAATTTTTTTGTACCAATTGACCCATAAATATCCCTACAAGCGAAAGAGATTCTTCTTATAACAATATTCATATGCTTCTTGAACGCTTTGATGGTAGATTTCAACTGAGATAAAGAATAATTTTTTTTGTACCAATTGACCCATAAATATCCCCACAAGCGAATGAGATTCTTCTTATAACAATATTCATATGCTTCTTGAACGCTTTGATGGTAGATTTTAACTGAGATAAAGTATGTTTCTTTGTTAATTGGAATAAGAGGATGAAATGATGCATGTTTTGTAATCATTCTTAAAATATCTTCTATACTTTCTTTAGGACATATAGCTCCTTCTTGTTCATTAGATAACCAAAATTCATCAATAAACTTAAATTGATTTTTGGCATTGCTGGCTACTTGTGACGTATATTAGCTAGCTTTATACTTTTTTTCTTTTAGTTTTCTAGCAATAGCACATTTAGCATGCCACAAACAAATCTGAATTTTTGGTATTTGAGACCAAGCTCTTTCGATAGCTGCTAATTCACCTGCATCCTTATCTGTAAGAATAAAGCTAGGCCAAATCCTAAATACAAGCCAATCAAAAATATTAGATTTTTAGAAATTAAGTAATTAATTATTAAATTTTTTATATATTATTATATATAAAATTAATATTTACCCTTTAGTTTTTAGTAGAGTAAAAAAATCTATTAAAACCAATACTCATGAATAAATTTTATTTCTTGAATCTTGTAATAATTCTACTGGTGTTGCAAAAGTATGAAGATATAAATATGCAAGTAAAACTCTGAATCTATCACAGTTATTTAAGATAGCAAAAGGCTCAAATTTTTTCTTATTAGTTTTATATATTGAATCTAAAATGATTTTGCTAATCTTATTTCTAGGTATAAAGTGAAAGAAAGAAGTAATAAATCCAAGAGATCTAATGAAGTCATTTCTATGCATAATATTACTTTATATCCTTGATCAATGAGTTCACTTTGGTTCAAAAAATTGCAAGCTAAAAGAAGCTGATTAGAAATATTCGTAATATACTGTTGAGTAGAAAATTTCATAATCCAATAGTATACTTGTTAATAAGTGTGTATATTTAGATTAATAAGATTTTCTTCACAAAGCCTTTTATAAGCTTCTATTTTTTGAATATTTCTACTTATATTACGAGATATCCAGGCTATAGCATTTTGGAGCATATTATTTTCACAGTAAGTAGAATATGCGTGGGCTACTAAATGTTCAAGAGATATATTTATTTGACATTTATTAATATCAATATTTATTTTAATATTCCCACTACATTGGTACCAATTGATTGGAAGCCTTGCTTTGCTTATTCTTTTTACTTGTTGACTTCCTGGACATGTATATTTACACTTTTCTCTTTGAGCACAGCCAATGTATACTGTTGCTTCTCCAGTTAATTGGTTATTCTTTTTATGAGGATAGATTTTTCTTATTTTCCAATAATAACGAGACCCAGCTTCAATAGATATGAGAAGTGATTCAGCTATGTTACGGTAGATAATTTCTTTATCACTTTCTTGATTTCGCTTGATATATTGTTAATAAAATTATTATCAACTTTTAAAATTTTAGAGAAGCATACATTACTATTTTCTTCAAAGTTATCAAAGCAATTTGCTACTAAATTTTCCATATCTGTTAAATTAAACCAAACTCTATCATCGTCATCGTCAATTTCATCAATTATTGTTTCTGAATCATAATCATCTGTTATGTACAAGCTTTTTTCTTCATTTGTTGATTTACTAGTAACCACTGGTTTTTTCCCTTTTTTTGACTTTTGCACAGTCATTACAATTAGAAAATTCATTTATTTTATTTCCTCTTAGCCAAACAAATTCATCATGCGCTTTATACTTATCTCAGCAGGAACATCTCTTTCCATTAGCTGAAGATGCTATTATATTATGAAAAAGGTATGTAATATTATTAAGAGTTGTTCTGAATTTATACTAAACAAATTTATTTAAAATGAATTGGGAATAAGGGAAGAAATTATAGTAATACAGTTGTAAAGTGTATCATTAAGAAATTAATTAATAATAATATAAAAAGATAACTAGATATTATAGCGATAGCAAGAATAAAAAATTGTGATATATGTCATGCGGGTTCACAATGAAGGGGACTTCACTGTTAATCTAACTCAAACGGCGGCACTTTTCTAACCAACGATCACCTCAACACCTTTCTACTTCGATTAGGGTAAGTGTTTTATTTACTTTAGATTCAACGATTTATTT